GGTCAAAATTACTGTGTTTTTATCTTATTTCTTTATCAAGATACTTTATGAGTGGCTAATAAAATGTCTTATCCATGAGGTACTAAATATTTAAGATTTCTTTCACGTTCCTCTCGAAATGTGGTGTTATAGGCGAATGATGAGGATAACGTGGGTAGAAAAGTTTAGAAATGAAGAGGTATTAGAAAGAATAGGAGAACAGAGGACTCTATGGAAGTCAATAAAAAATAGGCGAGATAGGTTGGTAGGACACCTTCTCAGGCATGAAGGTNCTTTTTGGAAGAAACTATTACCAACGATAATGGTGTAATTTCAAAACTAATTTTCACCGGAATTAATTCACGTCTGATTTTTTTTTTACAAATTCCCTAAATTTAATTTTTACAACTCTTAATTTTTTGAGAAGATCGAGGGCAAGTTAAGTGATCGTGTGAAATACTCACTGTGGCAAAACCATGACGAATTATACTAGGAAATAATAACTAAAGGACAGTCTACACTCATCCGTACCGTGACCGTGCTGTTTCCGTAATTGCATCAGATAATATTATAAAACTTTTTACTAACTGTGCTGTGTATTACTTACTATTAGCGAAAGAGACATATTAGAGGAAGAAACAGTAGTTAGGAGGGGTAGAGGTAGACCTAGGTTAGATTACTGTTCGCAAATAGTTAAGGATGTGGGTTTTCTAGTTTTAGGGAAATGCGAAGATTAGCTCAGGGTAGGAAAGAGTGGAGGTACGTCTCCAACCAATCTTACGACTGACGACCTTATGATGATGATGAGGTCTTAGTTAGTTAAAGTTCAAACAGACGAGAATCTTAAATAATGAATTTTTAGATTCGTACAGTACCTATGAATCTATTAAACATAATTAACAATGACTGAGAAAATTAAGATAAAAATATAAAAAATGGACACAAGCCTCTTCCCCCTTTCTGTTAGTAGTAGTTAAACAGACCCCTGCATTTTCTCGTTATAATATGAGAAGATATATTAGTAACGCCAAACTACATGAAAGCAGACCAGAAGATATTAGATTGTTAGAGTAAATTTAATAAGAGGTACTATGTAGTTCGTCGTTCTTCGAAGTAATTACAGTTTAATTAGTCACTTCTTGGCAACATGGATGCAACCTGCAAATTTATTCGATTACGAAAATATATTATCTCTCAGTTCCTAGGGTACTGTTTCAGCCCGAATATATAAGGTCGAAAACTGGCATATTTGATGCAATTTTGATAAAACGGTTTCATTATTGATTTTTAAATGAAAAAGGTTGGGTTCTTTTCAAAACTCTATCAGAACCAAAAAATATATACGCCTGAACGATATTGATAGGTGCACTTATAGTAGACTACCCTTCCATACGTATTACACAAATTATAAAACTATTACTATATAATACTATTATATTTACAGAGTGTATAGTAAATTGAACCAAAAGTACGTAACTTCTATTTACTTTGTAGTTTGTTACTATTAGAATGCAATTTATTTTTAAATTTAGATGATGATCCAGTTTGTAACAGAAAGTGTAATTTAATGTAACATATGCATACGACTGGTAAATGTCATTTTAAGTGTCGGTATTACAAGTTTTTTATCATGCCTAATGCTACAGGTTGCACATTAAACCACATCAAATTATTTTATAACTGGCTGGGTTTTACCCGCGGCTTGGTCGCGTCGATGTCCTTAATACCTGTCAAAGATCATCGACGATCACATAAAACTAATTTTTCTATCCCTTGGGAACATTATCCGTTTTTTGGACAAGACCCTATGTCCTTGTCTCTACCCCTGACAATGTGTACAGAATTTGATAATTGTCTCCTACTTCATCTATACTTGTTTATTTGTTTTTCATCATAAGGTGGTTTTTTCAACGAAAATGCCTAGTAGGCAATGAAAAGTTTGATATATTTTCTTTCAATGTTATTTCTGTGGTATCACTATCACTATCACTGTATAGTATAAAACAAAGTCGCTTCCCGCTGTCTGTCCCTATGTATGCTTAGATCTTTAAAACTACGCAACGGATTTTAATGCGGTTTTTTTTAATAGATAGAGTGATTCAAGAGGTAAGTTTATATGTATAATACATGCATAATATAGCAGAGAAACGCTGATAATTTTAGACGTTTCTAATGTGATGTCGTAAATAAACACATTTTTTTGCGCTTACATTGCAAACGCTGGCTGAACCCTACGAGATAGATCAAAATAATGTGCCACAGTACTGTACATCTTGAAAAGGCCTACAAAAAAGTCCGCGATGGTATATGTGTATCTCTTAGAGATAACCCACAATAACCAGCATTAAACATTATCGAATTAAATACTTTTAAATACATTGTACGTTTAATATAGATCAATATGGCCTTTTACAGCATGTAATTTAAATGAATATTACAGATTTAAAATGCAGGGACATGCGGTTGCGGCGGTACCTGCCGGGGGGCCGGTTTGTATTATCTAATGACAAAAAAGCTGTAAATGTTGTATATAAAGACATTCAGTAGTATCAACATTGCATCCTTGCGAAGCTGGGGCGGGTCGCTAGTTTAGAATAAAACTGATGAAGAACTTAGTCATAATTTTCGTATGATCATCAGTCCTGAGATTGGTTGTTGTCCTTCAATTCCTACATTAGTTTTTATTCCTTATTTATCTAAATAAAACTTCTTCTGTAACTCGCTGACATTTTAGAAAGAATATCAAATCTACATAAGACAAAATGAAAAATTATTTTATTAAGTTCCACTTTCTCGAATGAAAAATACTTTTTAAAATCGTTAAACAACAACGTGTCTGTATTTACAGTTCAAAGAATTTAAAGCATAACATTTTTCTTCGAAAGAATGCTTCAATTGAATTTTCACAAAAGTAAATACTGCGTTTCACCAGATTTAAATTGGATTATTATCAATTTACTGGCGTTTGTTTGCAATTGTTTTACTCGAACCCTCGATCAGCATACATAATAGATATAAACTCTGCATTCATATTTTTCAATTAAAAGCAGAGTTGTTGTTAATTGCCTACTATAATACCAAGGGCCTCAAAATAATTTTGAATATTTTATGTATGTTTGTTTTAAGACATTGTTTTATTAATTACTAGTGACCCGCCCCAGCTTCGCTTGGGTGCAATGCTGATACTAAATATATTTTTGTTTTGTTTAGATTATTATCGAAAAGGGGAAATCTTCAATAGATACCTCCTGGACATACTTAATATACTACAGAATGTCTATATATGCAACATTCACAGTTTTTTGGTCATTACACAACACAAACCGGCCTCCCGGCCGGTACCGCCGCAACCGCTATGTCCCTGCATTTTAAATCTGTAATATCTTCGAAAATATTCATTTAAATTACATGATGTACAGGGCCATATTGAACTATATTAAATGCACAATGTATTTAAGGTACTTAATTGGATAAGAATTAATGCTGTATTGCCTACAATCGCTTCGTAAATAAGTCTTTATTTCTCATAAAAAGTATAGGATAAAAATAGTTATTGTGGGTTATCCCTAAGAGATAGACATATACCATCCCGGACTTTTGTGTAGACCCTTTTAAGATGTACAATATTGTAGTACATTATTTTGATCTATATTGTAGGGTTCATCCAGCGTTTGCAATGTAAGCGCAAAAAATGTGTTTATTTACGACATCACATTAGAAACCTCTAAGATTATCAGTGTTTCCCTACTATATTATGCATGTATTATACATATCAACCTTTCTCTTGAATCACTCAATCTTTAAAAAAAAACCGCATCAAAATCCGTCGCGTAGTTTTAAAGATTTAAGCATGCATAGGGACAGACAGCGGGAAAGCGCCTTTTTTTATACTATGTAGTGACTAATAGTGGTCAATGTTAATATGCAACATCAACAAAGGTCCCGGGTTCGATTCCCGGCGGAAGGTGACAACAGCAACAAAAATATTTTCCTCATTAATTTGAGGAAATTTGTACTGGTTCAAAATCGAAAAGTGATTAGTTGATGTTGCAGTTTTGATTCAGAAATCTTATGATATTGTAACTGATATAAAAACCAAATATCTTTCATTAGGAATATATATTTCATGTGTGATCGATAAATTTCCTTATTCTTTTTTAAAATCCTTGAAACAGTTACACACTATTATTATTGTCGCGATGTTTGTAAAATTACCACCATTGTTATTCTTATCGTGTTGTTGCTCTTTGTCAGCCCTAATAAGATGTTCTAGTTTATTATAGAATACTACCCCTTTTTTTATCGATACCCTCCCCAAACAAAAATTTTGCGTAGGCATAAAAATACTTAGAGTCACTTTACTGTGAACGTTTTCGCTTAAATATTAATACGTTTTGATGTTATTTAATTCCTTTTTTGCTCTATGTCTTGTATTTAGCGTTGACGATATTTTTTTATGTAGAACATTAATTTACACTGTAATTTATTTATATGTATAATGTTTATTATTTTCAATTTAAGAGGGAAAGTTTATGAGCCACCCTCGACGGTAACGGTAACGTGGACCAAACATTTTCGAAAGCTAATTTTACTTTTAGTGCTTTCTACCAACTAACGTCATGAATCGTTCGCAAAACTCACTTTAAGTCAGAACTCCCTTACTAAAACTACGCAAGCAAATTGAAAACGAAATTGATTCACTTCCTTTCAAATGAGAGCAGGTAACAAATTTAAATTTTCTTCGTTCCTCTCTTTGATTTATCATAAAACGGAGTTAGATGTTATGAAAGAAAAAGCGCCCCATTGGAGCGAAATTGTGAACTGTGCTTTAAGATGGATATGCGAAATTTTATTGAAATAATAATTAAAATATATATAAGACCGCAAGTAGTACAAATTATATTGATAACAAGCGGTTTTCGATAAATATCTTCCATATTCAATAAACCTCCTGCTACATTTCCCTTAAAAGAATGCAGTTTAAAGCTTGTCGTTACTATTTATTATTTTTATTGTTCCAGGCTGTGATATTCGATGAGATCGATCTCACCGACCTGTGCCTAGCCGAGTGTTCCATTAAAAACGTGAACCACAGTTTTCAGGTATTTTTTTACGTTTACATTTTAAAACGACTTCATGCACGAATAAAAAATGTAATTTAGTCTTTCAACATTATTAATTTTTTTACCTTAAAATAAACTAACGATAAGAAAATAGTTTTGTTACGGGTAATTAATCTTGACATATACCTACTAAAGGACAGTTTACACCCATCCGTACCGTGACCGTGCTGTTTCCGTAACTGCATCAGATAATATTATAAAACTTTTTACTAACTGTGCTGTGTATTACTTACTATTAGCGAAAGACGTTTTATTACGGCAATTAATCTTGACATATACCTACTAAAGGACAGTTTACACTCATCCGTACCGTGACCGTGCTGTTTCCGTAATTGCATCAGATAATATTATAAAACTTTTTACTAACTGTGCTGTGTATTACTTACTATTAGCGAAAGACGTTTTATTACGGCAATTAATCTTGACATATACCTACTAAAGGACAGTCTACACTCATCCGTACCGTGACCGTGCTGTTTCCGTAATTGCATCAGATAATATTATAAAACTTTTTACTAACTGTGCTGTGTATTACATACAATTAGCACCATCAATTATTAGGTGAATTATTTGAACAAATTGTTCTGTAGATGTTGACAAATTGCCTTTAGTTTGATGAATTAATAGGTGATAAGGCGCCTGCATGGAATAATTAATAACGTGGACATAATTTAACATTCTTGACTAGAAGCAACGAATAATAAATGAAAGAGCTGAAGATAATGGAGACATCAAAGTCACTGTTTTGTGTTTCTCATTGTAACTGAAAGCAAAATATACACTGTTTCGACTGTGTACATACACTTGGCTTGGAACGAAGCATGCAAGATGGATTCATACATTTACTAGAGGCGAGGCTTCATTAAAATTGAGTTTTAAAATAACCCGGCAACGTTTCACCTTAAACGATGCCATTATAACGTGTTTAATAAAGGAACGAAATAACCTGGCATCTAGTAGATACATATATCGCCGAACAGCTAAAAGTATTGAGTAAATTTTAAAAGTTATATAAGGGGCACATGTTAAGGTAACTACATTTATTGTAAAACAAAAGAAAAGGTAAAACAGTAAAGCCAGACACTTAATAAACATTTATAAAATAAAATCCTTCCTCAAAATTTCATTCAAATAGACCCAATAGTTTCGGTTTTTTTTTTATCATCAATCCGTCAGTCAGGACGAGCTCCTTTATATACAGGATGCTACTGAAATAAGTGCAGAGATTTGGAGGATGTTAACTAGATCAATAAAGAATCGCTAGTACTCCAAATTGCTTACAAACATCGTGTTTCTAACAGACAATTATATCGATCGGCAGGAACTTGCTTGTTCGCATCCTGATAGATACACACAATATACATTTACCTCATGTGCTTAATCCTTTAGTATTAAAAGGATTCGGTAAGCTTGCTGGCATAGCTTTATCTCTAAATAACCTTTTTGGAAGAAACTATTACCAACGATAATGGTGTAATTTCAAAACTAATTTTCACCGGAATTAATTCACGTCTGATTTTTTTTTTACAAATTCCCTAAATTTAATTTTTACAACTCTTAATTTTTTGAGAAGATCGAGGGCAAGTTAAGTGATCGTGTGAAATACTCACTGTGGCAAAACCATGACGAATTATACTAGGAAATAATAGGCAAACAAGTTAAAATTAAATAAAATAAAACAATTCGAAGTGGTCTGTATATTCTGTCGAAACTGCCAGGCGCGGATCGCGATTTCGATCTTTTTGGATCTCATCAGCGCGCGCAGGCAGACCAACTTTTACCTGCTGTCTTAGCAGTGCGTTTCAGAAAATACTACAAATGGCGCAGTAAACGCCATCTGTAGCACGATGCTACATTTTAGGATTACGTATGCTTCAACAAGGTCCACTTGTGTGGATATCTACTTGCTGAAAACGAATCCCAGCGTAGCCAACCTCAACCCAACATACGTAATCCTAAAATGTAGCATCGTGCTACAGATGGCGTTTACTGCGCCATTTGTAGTATTTTCTAAAAGTTAAAATTATATTACAAAATTTACTAAAATACTGCCATTATATAGTTCATTAAGGTAGTCCACTCGAGTTGTGAACAGTAAAGCCAGAGACTTAATAAAGATTTATAAAACAAAATCCTTTCTCAAAATTTCATTCAAATCGACCCAATAATTTCGGCTGTGCTTTAATCATCAGTCCATCAGTAAGGACGAGCTCCTTTATATACAGGATGCTACTGAAAAAAGTTCGGAGCTTTGGAGGGTGTCGACTAGATCAATAAAGAATCACTAATACTCCAAATTACTTAGAAACATCTTGTTTCTAACATTATATTTCGACAGACAACTATATCGATCGGCAGGTACTTGCTTGTTCGCATCCTGAGGATATAGATCCTGAGAGGATGTGCAGGTAATCTGATCCACAGCACGTGCCCATTAATGATTTATATTTGTTAGGAGAAAGTTTGTACCTACTTCAAAAATGCTATTTTTGTATGTAACCTTATAATCGCCGCGAGTGTTTTGTGATGAGTACCTCTGTACTTTGCTTTGCAATTAAAACATTTCCATTGTGAGCATTCATTTTTAAGTGCTCTCCGACGTTATTGTCTTTCGCTGACGTCATTCCCAATTGAAACTGTAAAGTCGAATTTACGTACTTCGTGTGAAGTCTAAAAATAGTTCTCATTTCCAAACCGTTCTTTAACAACTAGTACGTGTATGTCAAGTATAACTCCTTTGAAGAATACTGCGAAGACTGAAACTGATTTGTTCTCCTCGCACCGACTGACCCTGTAGTGTCAATCTCCTTAAAGCTCTTTGAAATATCAATAAAATTATCTAAGTATTATTAACTTGGTAAAAATAAAAAAGCCGGAGAAAACAAAACGTCGTATAATAAATAATAATAAAAAGACACTTGGAGAAGATTCACTAAATTTTATTACGAACTCGATGTACATTTTACCTTCTTAGGGCGTCTTCAGGAGTATTACTGAGTACTAAAGTTTCGATTACAATATTTTTCTTAAATACTAAGGCGCTTGGGTAGTATTAGCTTAGGATCTAGGAGGAGGTTGTTACCAAACTGTAGTTGATTATTACCTAGTTTTTTGTTTAAAGAAATTGCTTTTTTATTTCTAAAATGTCCTAACAAAAAACTACTAATGATCAACATGTATTTAAAAAACATTGTACTTAATAATAATAATACTCCTGAAGATGCTCTAAGAAGGCGAAATGTACATCGAGTTCGTAATAAAATTTGGTGAAACTTCTCCACAATTAATTATTATTATAAAGTTTAAAAAGAATATAAAGACAGGAAACGAATTATTAAAAGAAGTGGCTGATTTTTGGTATCTAGGAAGTCAGATAAGTCAGGACGAAAGGAGTAGTAGAGATATAAAGCAGAGGATAGCGTAGGGTCGAGTTGCCTTCAATAAAAAGAAGTCATTTTTATGCTCGCGAACGGTTAATTTAGAAATTAGAAAAAGATTGTTAAAGGTGTAGGTTTGGAGCGGGACCCTGTACGGGTGCGAAACATGGACAGTAGGCGCGGTTAAAAAGAAGGAGGTTAGAAGCGTTCGAAATATGGCATTATAGGCGAATGACGAGGATATCGTGGATAAAGAAGGTTAGAAATGAAGAAGTATTAGAAAGAATAGGAGAACAGAAGACTCTATGGAAGTCAATAAGAAATATGCGAGAAAGGTTGGTAGGGCACCTTCTGAGGCATGAAGGTCTAGTCAAAGACATATTAGAGGCAGAAACGGGAGTTAGGAGGGGTAGAGGTAGACCTAGATTAGATTACTGTTCGCAAATAGTTAAGGTTGTGGGTTGTTCTAGTTTTCGGGAAATGCGAAGATTAGCTTAGGACAGGAAAGAGTGGAGGTACGTGTCCAACCAGTCTTAGAACTGACGACCTTATATTGTTGAAGATTATAATGTTTCACCATTAGTTTCCGACCAATTGTTTTCATAAAATATCGTTTCTTTTTTCCATAGAACGAAGTATATTTTTTTACGATTTCGGATCTTTTGTTTTTTATTTCTGTAGCTGTCGTTGCTCATTTGTTAGGATGTTACGACAAAACTGATTTCTTTTAGTATGTTCCATCTCCTATAAGTGTGTTATATTCGTCTTTGTCGTTTCGAATTTTTTTTTATTGTCACATTCTCCTTTTCGTTTTTTATACGTACGTTATGTAGTTATGAAAATGTGTATGCGTCTACAGAAACTGACAATTTCGTTTTTTTTTTCTTTCCTTTTATTTACTGCTTACCGTTGTTTTATATTTGTGACGTGTTTGTTACAGATAATAACAACATTTAGGTCATTGGTGCTTTGTGCCGAATCTCGTCGTGAGATGGAGGAGTGGTTGTCAGCTCTCACTGCCGCTTCCCAACGTCGCTTCCACGATGCCAACGATCAACCGGATCTCCTTTCAGGATATCATCACTGGTAAGCAGCAGAGTCCTTTAATAAGTACTCGTTGTGTATCTCTAAAGCAGACTGTACACGAACATGCAACAAGTGCAGCAAATGTTTCAATATTTTAATAATTAAAAGCAGTTCATAGTCAGTTAGTAAAAATGTCGTTATCTGCGGTTCGAAAAGGATGTGAAGGTTTATCAATTTTTGCTTTGGTGTAATAAATAAACCTAAAAAACGAAAAAGAATGTTCCGATATTGAATTAATCCTTTATTCTTAAACAATCTCATCAGTCTAAGACTGAATCAGAACGGCTTTAAAGCATGCTTCATTTTTGGCCGTGGTCCGTGGAATCTAGCTTTTCCAGACGTTTCGCCGTTTTTTGCTGACGGCATCTTCAGTGGTGAGTGGGCAGGTGCTGAGTTGTAAGAAAACACAGCATCGATAGACGCCGGCCCTGAAAGCCTAAGGACTACGGCTTTAAACCATCTTAGCCCAGATATAGTTCCATTAACAAGGACGTTCTTCTTTTGCAAAATTTATATTGAAAACTAGCTACAAAATATTTCGTGTTGAGCAGGACAATACCAACGTTAAGTACGTATATTATATATTCTAACAGTTTCATGCGGTAAAAGGTAAAAGCATACACTCGGTATTTGCGATATGTCGCATGTTGCGCGTTTAATGTGACCTTGGTGTAAAACCGCCTTAAGACGAGCAGCAGTCAAATTAGGAAGGCAAGGTCCACAGTAACTTGGATCGAAATAGGATAATTTTACTAGTTTGTATCTACGACATATTTTAGATGAAAATTATCTGTCTCCCTTGCATTTTAAAGGCAAGTTACCTATGATGTCTCAGTCCCATATTTGTGAAGCACCCTGTTATCGCAAGACATTTCTTGTAGTGCAACCTTTATGGTTTACGGTTTAGGCCCACGCTAAAGAGAGGGGGGGGGCTCTCCCTTAAGGCTGTGTTCTATTAGCGGCAATAATTTAAAACAAAAAAAATTGTAGGCATATAAAAAAGAATGCTAATTTTCTAATCTTCAGTTCTTATAAAATCAACTGTTATTAAAACAGATGTTAGACAGTTATAAGTATACAAGAATAAATACAGAGCTAGTGTTTGATATTTATCTACTGTTAATTCGATTCGACTATTTAATTTTCAGTATTATTTTAATTTTTTTAACCAAAAGGTTAGTCATATGAAAATGGTGTATTTTATCTATGAAACCCGGAGCGGTGTTTCCCCCCTTAAGTCCCCCTACCATCAAAAAGGACTGGTAACAACTGGTAACCGCACTGAAATACAGACCGTGTTATATTGCGAATAAACAGAAGCTAATACAAGCTTGCAATCAATTTGAATAAATACATTGTGTTATTAGAAATAATAAAGTATTTATTGCTATCCGAAATTGAATATTGTTATACAGCACTTGGTACGTTCGTGTTTGCGATACTAATATGCAATTCGCACAATAACCCAGCGACCTGGCCACTTTCCTATTAAATCAGCATGTTATTTAATTGGGTGATATTGATCCTTGTTTTGGGAAATTATCTATACAGGCAGATAACGTGTATTTAGATAGATCTGTTTCCATCGTTGAATTAGTTTGCTACTAGATTTATGAAACATTTAAAAATATCACTCGTTAAGTCCTTTGTGAGTAAGAAGATTTATGGGGGTCCGTTCAAACCTGTTGACCTTTGTGTATCACGTAATCCTGTCAAAGCGGGTTGTTCTATTCAGCACGTTTCCCTAATAGTGACAAAATTACACACATACATAGATACACACAATATACATTTACCTCATGTGCCTAATCCTTTAGCACTAAAAGGATTCGGCAAGCTTGCTGACATAGCTTTACCTCTGAATATCCTTTTTGGGAGAAAATATTACCAACGATAATGGTGTTATTTCAAGACTAATTTCCACCGGAATTAATTCACGTCTGATTTTTTTTACAAATTCCCTAAATTTAATTTCTACAACTCTTAATTTTTTGAGAAGATCGAGGGCGAGTTAAGTGATCTTGCGAAATACTCACTGTGACAAAAGAAAAACATGATGAATTATACTAGAAATTAATAGACAAACAAGTTAAAATTATTTAACAAAGTTTACTAAATTCTTAACAAAATTAACCTCTATGGCTGATAACGACAAAAACTATTTATTTACACTAATTATTAAAGAACTTAAAAACACTATTAAATTATTACTAAATATAGGTTATGAATTATTCTATTTATTTACACTACTGTTGATATATCACTATTCACTGCGCTATTTATTTCACTGCAACAGTCAATTTATTTCTTCCTATCTCGGCGATCGTCTCTTCCTTTAAATACTCTTTTGTTTACTTTCGGGAACCTTCTGGAAAACGTCCGGATAGTTTATTTTTTCTTTGAACTGTTTAACTGCTTTCCCAGAACGCAGGTATGACACACATATTTACAAATACGATGGACATGAAGAAAGGCGCCCGCGGCTAGTCGGCGAATCGATAAGCCGTTCACGCACACGTGTGCCCGATCGCACGCAAACACACTCGTGCTCGCTACAGAATTTATTTTAATAGTTACTTATTTATAAGACTACTTAAAATAAAATTTTTTTCAGACGTTTTCGTTTTCATGATAGTTGAGAGTTTTGTTAAAACTTCCCAATTACTGACAATCAACAACACAGCCGAAAAATCCCATATCCAAATTGAATATCGAAAAAGCTCCGAGGATGTTGCGTTTCACTCAGAAATAACAAACCAAATATGCCAATTGACAGTTCATTTGTGATTGATACTATTTAAATACGTAATCTAAGATATTTTTTAAATAAATATATGTGTATATTCAACTTCTTCTCCACATTGAGACTGGTTTTTACAGAATATTTTTTCTTCTTATTCAAACTCATTGATGTTGTTAATTCCTAAGCCAAGATANTCATTTGTGATTGATACTATTTAAATACGTAATCTAAGATATTTTTTAAATAAATATATGTGTATATTCAACTTCTTCTCCACATTGAGACTGGTTTTTACAGAATATTTTTTCTTCTTATTCAAACTCATTGATGTTGTTAATTCCTAAGCCAAGATAAGGGCTAAAAGAGTTTGCTTCGTTTTTGATTCTACTGATGCTACGTGCTTAATTAGTGGGTAGATAATTACTTTTATTTCAGGCCTTTAAGCCCCTGTAATTGGTTTGTTACTGTCTGTTTCAAACGGCTGACTCTTCTTAACATTACTTGTAGATCGTTTTTCTTGTTATCTCCTGTAGAACAGACTCGATTTTCCTTAATTTGTCTCCGAGAAACGCTTAGATACTTTTTCATGCTACGACCAGAAGCGTCATTACGCTTTTTCCATGCCTTAGGCAGATTATATCAAAAGAAAAGAATGAACACATTACGGAACAAGCCGTTTGAGTATATTGTTTACGCTCTCGCCCGTTTCCTATCGTTTAAAATTAATTCTAGAGTGTAGGGTTGCTAGGAGCCCCAGTTTACACCACCGCAGCTGTTTATCACAATAAAATTAATTGTCTAATGTAGGGTTATAGGGCGATTGCCAGATTGGGTTCGTGACATTGTATCTATCTCCTTCGGTTAATATAGAAATACCAAAAAGATTGTTGTGTGCGCTCAGGGCAGGAAAGAGTGGAGGTGTGTGTCAAACCAGTCTTAGGACTGACGACCCTATATAGTCCAGTCAAAATAGACAAAAATGAGTCATTTTATTCAAGGTCATGGGGTAATGTACTTGGAGCATTTTTTTTTAACGTGGTTTCCCCAGTAAGTATACTCCACGATCTATTGTCATCAGATAGTATCCTATTGATTGAAAAAATGGTAATATTGCTAATGATCAAAGTGGAGTGGGTGGTTTTCTTCTAAATGTTATTATATTAGATAATTGTCTAATTCTACTTCGACAATTATTTCTTCGTCTTCATTTTCTTTCTGAATTTCTGTTCACTGTTCTAAGAAAATGGATGCATCAATTGTCAATAAAATTTCTTGCAGAAGTACGATCGAAGGGGACTTTTGACATTTATTTATAATGAGGTATTTAACGTCTCTGCCAATTTTCAGTCAAATGTCTATTTTGACTGGACTAAATGATGATGCGGATTTGTAAGTGGAAAGTAGAAAGTAATAGCTGTAGTAATTTAGTTTTGTTCAGTATTTTATCTGCAACATCTAATTACACACCCTGTCTATTTCAATTTATTGTTCTAGTATTATTTATTATTCGAGTATTTTTGTCCGCAGTTTTTCATTAGAAAAGACTCGTTATTTTTAATAACTAAAAGCCAGATCTGTTCGGTCCTTTTGAAGTCTTTTTGCCTTTGATGAATTGAAATGTAAATGTACTGTATATATATTTTCGTGGAATTTCGTAAGAATATAAATTGTAATTATAAAGACATATTTATTACAGCGTAGGATTTAAGTATGAAGGATTGTCCTTTTTAAAACATCACAAGGGAAGTATAAGTGTGTGGATAAGTAAAAACAAAGGAAATATTCATTCCGAAATAGCTAATCCTAAAATAACTACCATTTTTTGTAATGTACAAAACAGGTACGACCTGTAAATTTATAATATTTGCTTTCTACATATTTAAAAAGTAAATCACAGTGATCCACGCGGATTTCACGACAGTTTATTAATTTTGAATTAATACATGTATAGTAGGGTGGAGTGATAATGTATGAAAAAAATTTAAGCAGACACTTTAAATGTTCGAAGCCCTAGGGTATTCCCTGCTCTTGCTTTTAAAATTCGCTGATATGCTACTTTACGTATGATTTCTCTGTCGTCTCCAAGCATAGCAATAAGAATATTTTCTGGATGACCAAAATATCCATTTCGTTGGATTACCTTATCAAGGATTTTCTTCAAAGGCGCATTTAAATATCGAGTTAGGGTAATTGTTTGCCACAGGTGCTTAGCTATGTTTGTACATGAAGGATAACATTTTATTGTGAACCACATTGG